TGTTTAAAAATGATACATTATTACTTACATTTACATTTATGACTTATTCATATTTTATATTTTCCTGATTATAATCTCTGACGCGTGAAATGTTTTATTTTTCAAACTCAACCGCACGTATTTGATCAAATTAATGCGCGTCAACCCTTTATGACGTCACTGAAAAAATTACGTCGAACGTTTATGACGCGAGAAACCCGTGTTTATACGGATATAGATACGCGTTGCTCATAACAGTGTTATATAAAAGAAAACATTTGCAAGTGTAAATATAAGGAAGTATTAGTCACCTTCTGCAATTTGGAAAGGTTGTTAAACAACACCTTGGCCATTTTACTATTAAGTTAATCTCCGTAAACTAACTGTAATCTGGAATGTCTGACACCTTCAGCGAGCCTCACTGTTTATATACACAGAAGAGCTTTGTCGCTATCCAATCAGCGAGCGGCTAACAAACAAAGTTGCGCATGCGAAACTTCAAGCCGAAGTAATGAAACCTGGAGGGAAATCGAAGCACAATAGAGCTGAAAATATGAATTATTGATAAAATATCGCTTATGGTCGATGGTAAAATGACACGTTTTAATGCCACAAGGGTCGAGAACAACATCCCGAATAAATGTAAACAACACATTCAGTCCTTGTGAAATGGCATGTTTCTACTTTCGCTTTCAATCAAAGCAAATGATTATAAATAAATTGGAGTATAACACATATTATCACTTGAAATATATCGTATCTACACTCCGAAGTAATGTGTAAATATCCATATGTTCAACTAAAATTATAATCATACGTGATAACCATGGATGGCAGAAGGTACAGGCCTATGTAAATTCATAACAATATGTCAGTTTTGAATATTTTTAATATTCCCAACAACCAACATGAACTTGAATTACCATATCTATATTGGATTCCGAAACTTCATAAAAATCCTTATAAGATACATAGCGGGTTCCAGTAAATGTTCTACCAAGCCTCTTTCTTTACTCCTCACTAATATTATATTAACAGTAGTGAAGGAGAAACTTTAGAAGTACTGTGCAACAATATATTCGAGAAGTGATGTAAATCAGATGTTGATACCTCAAAGTTCCAAGGAACTTTTGGAAAATTTGAAATCTTAAAATTTTACCAAAATCAATAACATAAAAAATTATGACTTTTCAACTTTATATACAACCACTCCCCACGATAAATTAAAGTCCAGGCTTTTTGACATTATTGACAGCTGTTTTTTTTTTTCCAATAAAAATGGAACTTGTAAATTTACTTACCTTGTCATTCGTCTTTTGCAAAATTATTCTGTTAAAAATACAAAGGTACTCTGAAGTTGATAATAAAGAGATGCTCGAGTTTCTGATTGACAACATCTATGTGGTTTGTCTTCCAACAATCTATTGGAATTCCCATGTGTACAAATTACGCCCCGTTATTACATGTAGCAGACCCATTTTTTTTATTCATATGCAGAATTTGTTCAAAATCTTATACGTGAAAAGAAGAATACGCTTGCTGTGGTCTTCACCTCGACATTTAGATATATCGAACACGTATTGTCAATTAACATAACTTCTATATCCCGGTGAGCTTGAAATAAAAGATATCACAGAGTCTGACACATATGTTTCATATTTAGATATTTTACTAGAAAAAGACGTTAATGGTAATCTAAAAATCCAAGCTTTATGATAAACGTGATGACTTTTACTTTTCAATCGTCAACTTCCTTACTTATGCAGCAATGTACCTTCATCACCTGCATACAGGGTTTAAATCTCATTTGATTCGATCCGCAAGAGCATGCTCTACGTGTGAATAATTTCTTAAACGAGGTAATTTATTGACAAACAAGTTGATGAATCAAAAATATCAGCATTCTCGTTTTAAGTTATTTCGTGAGTTCTATGGTCGATACAATGACCTTGTCAGCAAATACAATTTATCATTAAGTCAAATGCTAACTGACGTTTTTCATACTAATTGTTAGGCCATTATTTACACACTGAATTGTCGACGTTTTTTTTCCGTTATTTCCCAGTCATGACAAGGAGCACACGGCCAGTGTGACCGGTCGGCAGGGAATGATCACTCCTCCATGGCACCTGATCCCACGTCTGATGTTTTAGAGGTCCGTGTTTGCTCTGCTCCAAAATTTGTATTTTTTAATGGACTTTTGAGTTTGAATACTGTTCGTTATCTCCATACATCTCATGCAATGCTGATTGGATTAGCACTTTGTCATCCATCTATACTGCTGATTATGAAAGGTCATTAGCTATAAAAACTTTAAAACCACCAAACCAGATGCCGTCTCTTTGGAGAGTATGTAGAAGTCGTTGAGAATTATTATCGAAGGACCAGTTAGTTCAAAGCTTGATTTTAATAATGGGTCTTAAAAGAGTCATTAATTGCTCTAAAAGATTAGAGAAACACAAAAATTAGAACTATTTCCCACTGATAGCTTAATATGCACGGTAAATGTCATTTATCCTGCCGTAGAGTAAAGAAGTGTGTGCTTTAATGTTCACAACTTTTTATTCTGCATTAGTATCAAATTTAAAGATTCAAACTAATACAATCAAAAGGGTGATTTATTTAGACTGAGTATTCTGTTCATCAGTTCTCTGTAATAAAATTTCTTCAATGAAATTTTTCATTATTGTGTAGAGAACCCTTATAAAAAGAAATAAAGACTTATTTCGGAATTTAATTTGAAAATTAAACCGAAATTGATTATTTAAAAAAGGACATATAAAAAAAAAATCCCTCAAAGATCCAGTATTTAACTTGAAATTCACCACAAAAATACCAGAAAATCAATTATCTTTGGGGAGATGGGATCCTCCTGAAGCCTTACATTGCATCAACATTAAAATCCAGAGCGATATCTGAGTTACATTATTGTAGAAAAAATTTGTTTGTATCGTTTAATTTGGACTTTCGGTCTAACATATAGGTCTCCACTGCCTTAAAAAACATATTCTTTATAAAACTGAAGTGTAACACTGCAGTTCTCTAATGATGAAATTTCCATTGAAAGATACTTATCCTCTAAAACGTGCAAAAGTCTTCATCCAGACGAACATACACATTTACGCATATACATGTACACAAAGTGATTGGAAAGTGTTACGACCAAAACTGCTCGAGTTACAACATCACAACAAAATCACTATTGATATAAAGCGAGACACAGACAAGTGATATGGCCATAAAATTTATCATAATCTTGTCCTTAGAGTAAAGTACTTCTGTACAAAACTGTACAAAAATTGGAAGTGTAACGACGAAAACTATCATTGAGTTATTGCGTCACAACAAAACTGTAGTCGGACAGACATACAGGCGGACGGATAGTCACAGTGTGATTTTTACAGAACACCTGAATTTTCATAAAAACCTCACAATACTGTATAATTTATTTCATAAACACTGCCTTGATTTCCAGTCTCAGGTAGAGTACATGTTTATATACCTTTCCTGATAATCAGGGACCGAGAAAGCCGATGGGCCCCTTTCATGTACGGTAAATATATTTTTGCATTAGGTTATGTTACATATATATATATATATATATATATATATATATATATATATATATATATATATATATATACATATATACGATTTTTAATTAATGAATAATTTATGTTTATACAAATGCTTTCCGGGTTTTTTTTACTATGGTTGCTTAATCAAGGAAGAAATTTCTGTTAACTTGCACGTACTTTCGATTCCAGGGAAAAAAAATCCACTTTACAAAATGTTTCAAGGTTAGAGTCCATGAGTATATAATAACAAATGAGCGCGTTGATCTCGTATAATAGATAAGTTTTAGATGGATTCCTTTGTTAAGATCTCTATCATCGGTTTTCTGCTTGGTATTGCAAATGCATATAAAGCAGTGGTTTTTATGCACGGGATATTTGGAAGTTCTGATGAAGGAAGAGATTTTGAAACATGGATAAAACAGGTTGGTTTTAATGTTTCTATTCCAGGAAACTGTAATACTCTTGAGCCATTATTCACTGAATGTTGCAAAGACATCACAGCGAGCTGTATAAACGTTTCTTCTGATTTTCCCTCTTCTGAGCTAAAGGATCAAGTTCAATTAAAGTTTCTTCTAAGCTATCGATCTTCTGCTTATTTTATTCATTTTTCTTCAAATTTTCGACCTTCTTCCTAAGGCAATTGGACCTCTTTCAGCTTAAATTTGACAAGGCATCCTTCGGATATAATTTATTTAAACGAAGACGGTTTTTTTTACAATGGGATCCGGAGATACGAAAGAAATATTGAAAATTGGATGGAATATTATTAATCTCCTCCAGAATCACTGAACTAGAGAAACAAAGGTGTATTGAATAATTCTTTTTCATTCTTATATATATATATAGATATATATAGATATATAAAAGATTTTGTCGACTTGTTAATCAGAAAAGTATTTCTAGTATTTCTGGTTTCGTTTAAATCAGATTACTACTAGTATATCCACATTTTTAAGAAAACATTTATAGGGATGAGAAGATGCATCTATTTATACAAAGAAAAACAAGTTGTTCAATTTATATTGAATTTCTTCTAAATGTTTTATTGTGTAAGCCTACTTAAACACATATTATCCTTCTAGGACTTTGTTTTCATATAACATAGAAAGATAATTTTTCAAAATATTTCCTTATCAAGGTTTTTTTTCGCAAATGTTGCTTTAAAGAGGAAGATGTTTTAAGTACGTATACAATGTACACAATCTGAGCCTATTGTAGAGTGTACTTGTATATCCACTCTTGTTGTCCTTATTGTGGAAAAGGCCAATTAGCTCTTGAAACCGACATTGTCTTCCTTGTTCTTATCGTCCAACTTCCTGCATTCATATGTGTGCATTTGTGATTGACCAGGTTTTCCTCGTCTCCATATTTTCTATTAAAAAGGTGCATGTATTTTGTTTATCAGGTTTATTTACAAGCAATCTTAATGATTTAATCTGTACCGGAGACGCTGTGTAATATTAAGTCTCAAAGGTTTCTCTAGATAATGTTGCGGATATAGATAAATAAACGTACAGGTACAGGAACACGATGTTGTTGGTCATAGTTTTACAGTTGTCAATTTTAGCTCTTTTACTCACTGCAAATAATGTGACAAATGGCCCCAAGGCTATAGTTTTTATCCATGGAATTCTTGGTAATTATGAGGAGGGTACAGACCTTCAGAGATGGGTAGAAGAGGTAAGTTTAAGAAAAGTCCCGAAACTATGTAGGTCTTTATGAAAAGACGCAGTTTAATTTGCGAGTGTTGGATTTTGTCGAATGTTCAGCTCCTACCTGAACATTGACTTTGAACATACAATCAGGATGTTGAATAGAGTAACACTAAGGTACATACAATGCTAAGAAAGGCATTTCTTTCTCAAGAAACCTTACCATGTATATGTACAGTACCCATTTATTCAGCGAGCGAAAAACAAAATCCCATCCCGAAACACGCCTTGATTTAACATTTATATTAATGATTAACTTTCGTTTATTGATTTCGTGCATGATTAGATAAGTCAATTGGAATATTTCTGCAGAGGCCGATTGAGTAAGAGGGTGGTATGGATACCCAAATATTTGTTTATTTTTTTTCCTTTGGTCAGTAAATTATGCCGGGTCTCTCAATGCAATTTATTATACCCCCGCTCCGAAGGAGAGGGGAGGTTATACTTTTTACCTAATGTGTGTCTCTGTCTAACAAATTTTCTCAGCAACTTTTCGTCGCAGATACTTGAAATTTTAGCACACTCTTTGCTTAAGCATGCCATATGATGGGGTTTATTTTTGTACGAATCCGATGTCAACTTCCTGTTTATCCGTGCGTCTGTTCGTTCCAAATTTTCGTCGCAGTTTTCTCAGCTTCTAATCATTGCAGATACTTAAAATTTTAGCACATGCTTTGTTTAGGTATGCCATATGGAAAGATTCATTTTTGTGCGAATCCGATATCAACTTCCTGTTTATCCCTGCATCTGTTCCTACCTAATTTCCGTCGCAGTATTCTCGGCAAAAACTCACTACAGTTCATATGATAGCATATTTTTATATCAGAGCGGGGGTATTACTAGTGATCATTGGCTCAGAGACTTTTTGTTTGTATATCTATTGAACTTCTATCCATCTATCTATATAGATCTATCTATCTAGATATTAAAACTTGGGATACAATTTTTCACTGTGATTAATATACATGTATATTGACGAACACGTTCCAAAGGCTCACCAAGATTCTTGTAATCGTAGGTTCACCCTGACACGCCTTTCTACTCCATAGCACTTTACCAAAGGTTAAATAGTCTGGTCCCCCTCTGGAAACAGATCGAGATAATTAGTAAAGATGTGGTGGGCATCATGAACAACCACACGGACGGCATCCATCTTATCTGTTTCTCTCAGGGTAGGTATTAACAACTTGTAAACGTTTTACATGTTTAAGTATATCAAAACAAGCATTCAGGACTGTTAACAAACAGCGTACAAAGTAGATGGCATCAAATTTTGGATTTATTCTTAGATTTGAAGTGTTAGCTAAAGAAACATGAAAACCGCATGTTTCTCCTTAGGTATAAAAATTATAATATACAATCGCATGTATTTTCTATGCCTTTCACAACCACATGGAAGGTATATATATACAATTGCGTTGTCGTTGACAGAAAGTATCTTTCATTTATGTTTACTTGCATTTTTATTAGATCATGCCACTAATCAATTTCAATTATTAATGCTGAAAAGAATAAGTTTTTAGAAAGATCACATATACACGTATACTTTATGGTCTGGATAACAGAATGTACATTGTTATTAGGAGGCCTGATTTGTCGAGGTATTTTGTCGACCACTCGACATAATGTCGACACTTTCATCTCTTTGAGCTCTCCTCTCGCCGGCCAGTATGGAGGTCAGTGTATTTGTTGATTGATCAAATATTGACATTTATTTATGCTAAGACAATGATAAACGCTTTAGATATCAAAGTGTGAATAAGCTCACAATTGTTATTTAATTTTGTTTGTACATGTAGCACGAGAAGTATTTGTGATAGTTTTGTATAGATTTCGATGTTTACATATACCTTTATCACTCACTGCCCGGGCCCGTACGAAACTCTTAACCGTTTTCCGCCTGGAGTCCGGGCGGACTGAGACGGATTCCGGTTAAGTGCTAGGTGGACTAAGCCGTACTAAAGGCGGACATGGAAAACGTCTTAGCTTTAACCGTTTTCCGCCTCATATCTTAGGTGGATTCCACCTTAAATCTGAGGCGTATTTTTGTTAGACGTTTTCCGGCTTAGCTCTTAGACGGATTCTGCAATAATCTTTAAATTATGAACAGTTTAAATTATGACCACATGTTTCATTCCTCTAGATGACCTTGTTTTCTAAAGGCACTAATGGGGGAGATATTCGAAAAAATTAGTCAAACATGGCTTTTATCCAGTTATTAGACTTTGAATATTAGGCTTTTTATTAGTTACATTGAAGATTGCGTTTCCTAGAGGAGTAATTTTTTGCAGCCATATTGTATATCAGATATACGTTTCTAATGCGCTCCTGCTTGACCACCCTTTACAGGGGGCGGAAGTTTTCAGGCAGAGCCTCTCTTTGGATGCATTGGTCAGTTTGAATGCAGATTTTGAAAGTGATGACTGTTGGTTAATTTGGTTGATGAATCTTTATATCTCATTCAGCTTAAAAAGGAACTCAGGGAAGATGTATGCCTGTAAATTACTATTCTGAAGATGATTTGTTATGTGTTTTTGGAAAAAAGAGTGATAAAATACAACGTTTGGTGTTATTCTTAACTAAGCTTTGAAGTGAAGCAAATTATGCTCGGTGAACATGCTGAATGGACAAAGAAGGACTTCTAAACACTGTACAGGAATACATGTAACTGTGAAAAACAATGGTAAGTTAAAATTTTTAGCGGTGTTTTTTTTCTTTTCTCTCTTTTTTTGAATTCGTACAGCCAAAATATGTACACACCACTCTCCACCATTACTTCCGATAATTAATTCCAACTGGAATAGCATTGAAGCCCTATATTCACATTATACTCTACACTAACCCAGATGTTAAAAAAAAGTTTGCGCATAAAATATCAGGCGCCATTTCTTTTTGCCTAATGTAGGGTAGCCTCACCCCCCCCCCCCCTTGTTTTCAATGTTATGAGTATATCCTTTTAGATTAAAATATTAAAAAGTACAAAGATAAGGGATAAAAAAAATTACTAATTCATTTGTCAATTATTAATCAACATGTACTTTTGTAATTTTATTTTCCACTTTGCTTATGTGTTTTCCGGAAATACGATTTCCTTTTAAAATTAGCGACCTGTAGTTACTTCCAGTTTTAAAATCACGATATGATGTGTGTTAGCACTGGTTAATGGTTTAACCAGTGGTTTATAACATTATTAGTGGAATGTTGACACAGACACCCTTCTAAAAGTGTAGTTCGCTGCTCAGTTGGGATTAGGAGTCAGGTTCTGAGATGTAAGTCATCATTTAAAATATTAAAATATTAATATATACATCATGTACATGGAATTCTTCTTTGTTTTTTTACCTTGATGAAATTCTTAAAATACATATTTGGGGTGAAATTTGAACAAGTTTTTTTAATTTATTTTTTCTTCCATATTGAAGTGTACCATTCCTCCTAACGTTGATACATCTATACAATAGTTTTCCTAATTATAATATTCAATAAGCAGCTGCAAATGTACATTTCAAAACATACATGGATTTGAGTATATTCATTTAAGTTAGATCTACATATTTCATGAGCAGCTATTGAATATACATGTAAATCAAACGTGTTTGTAGAATGGGGTCTTATCTTTTACAAATATGTGAAGATTATGAAAAATAATTGAATAAGAGATTAAAAACCAATTTTAAAACTGTAGATATTAGGATTTTCTGCATTGCAGTGTTATACATTTCAGCACTTCGAGCTTTTTAAGTCCTCAGCAATTTTGGCCGATAAAGGTAAAATGAGGACTGTGGCAACTGCAGCAAGTCAGGATGAAGGCCAGAAGTCACTGTCCATCCACCCTTAGGAGTAAACTCACAGTGCTGCTGAGACTTCTCATTTGAGAGCTTGCCGAAGATTCATGGGAAAAAGGAATGCAATCTAACACCTGTGCTTCATTCAACTGTATTGGAGGTTATGAGAGGTAAGAATACATGAAGACATCAGACGTCTGATAAATATATGAAAAATTATTCTTATATTTTGTAAGTTTTAGTGTTGAGAGAAATTAGACAAGACTGTTTGCATCCTGATCTTTAATACAGAATAGAATGCCATAAAAGAGTCATTTTATTGAAAAATGTTGGAGAGTTGTTTTAAAACGAGAAATTCATCTCAGTTTGTATTTTCTTTATAGACTTCAACATGTGGTGACCGTGTGTGAAGAATGGCAAAGGAAAGCTTGAATCATGGAAAAGATAAGTTATTCCAGATAACTTAGGAAGAAGAACAATAAAAATGACACACTCTTTCCTTGCAGACAGAAAGAATTTTGTGAAAATAATCAACCAGTGGTAAATTAACAGCTAATTGTTTTGTTGAATTGACTTTTAAACAATGGTTTTGTCTTTCTTTTTTTATTTGTTAGTTCAACTGTGACAGTCACATTATTATGTAGATGTATGAAGAAAAATCAAGTTTTGGTACAATATTTTTTATCTTTTTATTTCATGTGAATTTAAGGCAAGGCATAACATTTTCAAATGTAAAATATTTTTAGTTATTGAATTTTAAAGAACTTGTAAATAAATGATTTATAATTTGTATAATTTCATTTTTTTTAATTGTTAAGTTTGTAAAAGTCTGAAACAACAATAGCTGATACACTGTGATAGGCAGATTATGTAACCATTAATGCAAAATCCTTCTAACCATTAAGGCGGAATACGCCTTGCTAGTAAGGCGGAATACGCCTATCTTAAGTAAGGCGGAATACGCCTTGCTAGTAAGGCGGAATACGCCTATCCTAAGTAAGGCGGAATACGCCTTGCCATTAATGCGGAATACGCCTTGCAGGTAAAGCGGAATATGCCTTGAATGTAATCCATATTAGGAAAGGTGGAATACGCCTTAACTCATTTAAATATTTCGAGCCCTATTCCGCCCTGATTCCACCCGGACTTCGTCTAATAGTCTTATTATGTTCTTTATAGATAAAGGCGGATTCCGTCTTTTGATTTCCGCCTAAGGTCAGGGCGTAAATTTTCGTACAGGAGCTGCAAAAAAGCTATATATTTTTAATTAGTTTCACGACTCTTGCCTCTGGGTACACATGTATATATTAAATCCACATGTATTCCTCTCTTTTTCAGATACAGCATATTTGAAATACCTTTTCCCAGAACTCCTAAAATCAGAATTATACAGGTGATACTTTCCGAAGAGTTTACTTTAGTACATTCACACGTATATAACAGAAAAAATTCAAAATAGATTTTCACATAGTGATATTATATCTGTGTAGATTGTTGTATACAAAAGAAGGACAGGACCTATCAATCGGAAACTACTGGAAAGGTAGATATAACATGTACAAAACGTAGTATTTTTTGACAGAGTTATCCCTCTTGAACTTCGAAAAAAAAAGTTTTCAGTTTCTGCTCTCTAACTTTTGTAGGGATATATGTACATTATGTATAAGGTTGAAATTGCATATACTGGTATCTTACTAGAAAATACAGGTCAAGTTTGAATTTGGTCGTTGTCTGATGATTTTTGACAGAGTTGTCCCTCTTGAACTCAGAAAAAAGAAGAAATTTTCAGTTCTCTCTTATTTTTGAAGGGATAGATGTATAAGGTTGAAATTGCATATGCAGGTATTTTAAGAGAAAATACAGTTCAAGTCTGAATTTAGTCATGGTTCGATGATTTTTGACTGTTGAACTTGAAAAAATTTAACAATTCACAATTTCTAATCATTATCTCGGCTATAAATGTACAATTTACAATTTGCAGTTTCTTTTTTTTATCTGAGCTATAAATACGCATTTTGTGCATGGCATTTGAAATTTTGGCAGTCTATGGGGGCATTAGTGGCGTTACGACGCATCTAGTTTCTAAAAGAAATCTTTTTTTTCTCAAAAATGTATATCAATAAAAGATACATCGTCTACTTTTAAATATAAAGTAAATATATCCAACTTATAGCTCTGTTTATATGATTTGCTTCAGATCCCCATCACCTAGAAAAGTATCAGAAATATTCCAATTTTCTTGCACCGTTAAACAACGACACCAACACGCCTAAAATGGGAGGTAAAACGTTTTAAAAACAAGCTTTTCAAGACCAGAACTTGATGACAGTAAAATTATTTTTGAAAATGATATGAATTTCTAATTTTATTTTCAGAATATAAACAAAATTTTCTTCGGCTTAATAGACTAGTTCTGATTGGTGGACCGGATGATGGCGTCATAACACCCTGGCAATCGAGGTAACAATAAGCCTGAGCCATTACTCAGGTATATTTAGCATTGGATGTTTATTTATTTATTTATTTATTTTTTAATTTTAATCATTAGGCAAAGTATCAATCATTTAATGCAAAGTGTGTGCAATACACAGAATTAACATGTCTCTTTTTCTTTCCTCTACGATTATATTTATCTCCAATGTTCTACATTTTCCAGTCATTTTGCATTTTACAACTCCGAGGAGAAGGTTGTCGAAATAGAACAGCAAAGGGTAACTGATTATAACATGTCTGATGTCTATAAATATCTTATTCGTCGTCGATATAGTGGTTAAACAAAATACACTTGAAAAGAACTTTCCTGTACTTTTCTGAAGAAATACATAGAAACTACTAAATTTTGCGGGGTTAAATTTTCGTGATATGAAGAGACCAACGAATTTATGGCTTCCACGAAATGTGAAATTTCAAATATATAACTTTGTACTCTTTTAACCATGAAATAAAATCCCCACGAACCAATATTTTTACCACAAACCACAAAAAAACTGACCCTACGAAAATATATGATTTCACAGTAGCCTTATGTTTATTTTCTTTTTTTATGTTAAATTGGTTGTGGCACATTTAGCCTATGACATGCCTTGATATTTACATGATTTTCTTCCATTTCATTGAATTATGTCTTTCTATACCTTTCAGTACTTCCTGGAAGATTCGTTTGGTTTAAAAACCTTATTCAACCAAAGAAAGGTCAAGATTTATGTCATTCCCGGCGTGCAACACATATACTGGCATAGCAACCGTACAGTGTTTAACACCGCCATACTTCCTTGGCTGATTTGATTGATCCAGAAATCATTAGTTTCGTTGGTGAATTCAGAAACGTTGTGTCCATCTGCATTCAGTGTTGTGACAATACTCTTTGATGAGAAAACTGTTGTACAGAAAGAGCTCATTCGTGTTTCCTCATTGGTATTGGAGATTCCTGCTTATGTATAAATCTTTAGTTTGAAATGCTGATCAGATCATAATTAAAATTGAAAAAAAAAATCGCATTGAATAAAGTTTTTGGTCATTTTACTGACTTGAAGCTAGCTTCATCATGAACATTATGCCAGAAGTATTGATTGATTGTTTATTGTTTAACGCCGAGTCGGCAATATTTCAGCCATGTTTCGGCGGAATAAGTAAGAGACTAAGTTGATCAGAAATTGATTTTGCATCTTTGAAAACATTTTTTCTTAAGGTCGTCAAATAGGTAAATCTATCAAACTTTATAATTATTTGTCAGATAAGTTTTGAACACGGTGAGGCAATTTAGGTCAAAGTCTGAGAAACTAGTGATACTCGAATAACTGACAGAGCCAGTGGTCCTCTTGTTTCTTAAAATTCACAGTGCCTCTGAACTGCAACTCCCCGTTAAGCACATCCTGTTCATAGGAATTTTTCATTGATTTGTTTCACTTTTTTAAATACACAATGTGTTCAGTAAAAAGGCAAAATTTATGTTCTATAAAAAATAATGTTCGAGGTATACATGTTTCATAAGATAAAGATTTTTTTTTTAATTTGCCCCCCCCCCTTCCATTATCAAGCTACGTACATTTTGTCGCCAAATGGGACATGCCTTGTTTCAAATGTTTCGGAATGTGAAAATTACCTGAATTCCGACGATCGCCAAGTCAATTTAAAATTGTCGCCAATCTGTCGACTTACGGAAAAAATTAAGGCGCCAATCAAATATTTTAGTCGCCAATTAGAGCCCTGCTATGTAGATATGTGATAAAACAAATATAATGAAAGGATACAATCAAATTTCTGTATTTTCAAATGAATACGTCTTATCGACATGCCATATGCATGTTGCACATGCCGAGAATACCGATAAACACTTCCGATCACAGGTCAATCGCGATAAAAACAACGATGGAAACTAAACACTGCTAAAGTCGTAAGCACACATCTGAATTATCTTTCTGTTTCTATGCACAGTAAGAAATTTCATACATTCAATATATTTCTCTCAACATTTCTGTCAATTTTTGAAATTGATATAGTATATGTACCTCAAAGGTTTTGAGCTACATACTTTTTAAGAGAATAGCATGTGGTGATCATGTTTCTACATTTCAACAAGTGAAAAGAAAAAAAACTAAACATTCATAATTTACAGAGGATGAAGTGGCCAACGTGGAAGAGAGGAAAGAAGATGTGGAATACACTTGTAATGGGGGGGGGGGGGGGAGCAATTATTCCAAGAACCCTGTCTTGTGTTTGTACATGTAGTAGTAAAGGTACATGTACAATGATTTTACAGTTGTGGTACACCAAATTAAGTATTTTTTTCTTTCAAAACTGAATAATATTTAAAATTGTAAGGGAAAAAAACCCACACAGCACCTATACTTATAAATTAATAGATTTTGCAAATAAACTCCGCAACGGGTGCACCAGAGTTCTTACTTACTCCTCTAAGAATACACTAGATAAAAGATGATGTCCGTAAACTATGTTTAGATTTCACTCGCATAGGAAGTATCGTACATTAAATTAAAAGTCTACTTTCATTTTCTATAAGCAGCCATGAAATAGCAAAAACGTGAGTACGGTGGCGTTTCCGGTTGGCGGATCTAAGTTACTGACAATTTTTAATGAAACTGACAACAAGCAATCGTTTATTTTTTTTAGGTCACCTGAGTAAACTCAGGTGACCTATTGCTATCCGTTTTCGTCCGTCGTCGTACGTCGTTCGTCGTTCGTAAACTTTTGAACATTTTTAGCTTCTTCTCTGAAACCGCTCAACCAATTTCAACTAAATTTGGTATATAGCATCTATGGGTGAAGGGGAACAAAAATTGTGAATTTCATGGTCCCTGCCCCCCTGGGGCCTGAGGGGTGGGGCTAAAACCACCAAAAATAATGCAATCTTTAAAAATCTCCTTCTTTACTCCTGGACATCAAGCAGTCAAACTGTTGGCATCATTGTAATGAGCATTGAGTCCTCTACCAAAATTGTGAAATTCATGGCCCCAGGTTCAGGGGTTCTGGTGCTAGGGCGGGGCTATATAGATCATATAGTGAAAGTGCATTATTTCTTTGAAAATCTTCTTCTCTGCTCCTGGGTATTAAATAAACTAACTAAGTATATAGTTATGATGAGTAAGAGTGCCTCTTCCAAAATTGTGAAATTCATGGCCCCAGGGTCTGGGATTCTGGTGTTAGGGCGGAGCTCTATTGATTATATAGTGAAAATGCATTAATTCTTTGAAAATCTTCTTCTCTGCTCCTGGGTATTAAATAAACTAAGTATATAGTTATGATGAGTAAGAGTGCCTCTTCCAAAATTGTGAAATTCATGGCCCCAGGGTCAGGGGTTCTGGTGTAAGGGCGGGGCTCTATAGATTATATAGTGAAAATGCAGTAATTCATTGAAAATCTTCTTCTCTGCTCCTGGGTATTAAATTCAGTAACTAAGTACATAGTTAGGATGAACAAGAGTGCCTCTTCAGAAATTGTGATTTTCATGGCCCCTGGGTCAGGGGTTCTGGTGTTAGGGCGGGGCTCTATTGATTATATAGTGAAAATGCATTAATTTTTTGAAATCTTCTTCTCTGCTCCTGGGTATTAAATAAATTAACTAAGTACATAGTTAGGATGAGCAAGAGTGCCTCTTCCAAAATTGTGAATTTCATGGCCCCAGGGTCAGGGGTTCTGGTGTTAGGGCGGGGCTCTATTGATTATATAGTGAAAATGCATTGATTCTTTGAAAATCTTCTTCTCTGCTACTGGAGATTATTTAAACAAACTAAGTGCATGATTATGATAGATAAGGATGTCTCTTCCAAAATTTTTTAATATATGGCCTCAGTTTTTGGGGTTCTTGAGGGGGGGGCTCTATTGATTATATAGTGAAAAAGCATTTATTCTATCAATTAATCATTAATTAATCCTGTCGGCTCCTTAGTGTTGAGCTGATAAATAAATTGCTTAGCTATGATGAAAATGGGAGCTTCGAACAGAATTTTTAAATCTTGTGGTCCTAGGGTCAGGGGTTCTGGCATAACGAGGGGGGGGGGGGGCTTTTGATAATATAGTGGAAAAGTGTTAATTCTTTGAAGTCCATAGTAATGATGATGAGGGTAACTCTTCCGAATTTGTAAATTTCTTGACCCTTGGTCTTTGGTTCTGGTGTTAGGGTAAGGCTTTGTTGAATCTGTAGTGAAAATGCATTGTACCTGTGAAATTCTTCTCTGCTTCTGGGCATATCGGAAGCAAACTGAGTTAAAGTTTAAATGATATGAGTAAGCGTATTTCTACCAGATTTTTAAACATCTGGACCATTCGTCTAAGCATTCTGGTCCTGGACAGGGCTCTATTAATTTGTATTCTACTGAGAGAAGTTATTCCCCTTTTCCATTCACCTTTGATAATTAATCACTGTAAATAATGTATTTGAAAGGTTAATAGAATAAAATAATTATGCAAGAATGTTTATCGTATAATTAAAAAAGTACTTTCTTAGTTTTAATAATCAGGTAGACCTGTAAGTAATAGATAAATAAAAATGAGACAAAAATAACTTATCTTATTAAAAGTTCTTCAAAGACCATAAGAGAGGTCAATGCTAGAGGTCTTAATATGGGTTTATAAATAGTACAGAAGCACTAATAGTTTGTTAATAGGCTGCATGGTGATAGTGTTAAGTGGGGGACAGATTAGAACTCAATTTCTGAGTTGATAGTGAATACTAGACTAATTATTTTGTTGATCCTGATCTTCCTACTTCTCTTGTTTTTGTTCCTCTGCTCTGCCTCTGGGTATTAAGTAATCAAAGTAAGCATGCTAATTGTATAGTTATGATGAGCAATAGTGCCTCTTTCAAAATTGTGAATTACATGGCCTCTGGTTTAAAATACAAACCAAATTCAATTGTTGGAAAGTTGTTACACGATACTCAGGTGACCTATAAGGCCCATGGGCCTCTTGTTATAAAACGTCATCACTGAATTATTTAATCAAAACTATTTAATCAAAATGATATAAAAGAAATAAGTTGTGATAGCCGATTAAAAAACAAAACGTGCAAATTATTTTAGTCGTTCACCGATCTCAATATTGACGGAAGTTTCTAGAACATATATCATATGCATCGAGGCCGATGTTAAAAAGAAAAACGAGGCGATTATAGCTGCAAGAACATAAAAAAAGCTTTTGTGTGAATGGTCACTGAATAATGATAAATCATTGATAACACTATAAGTTGTGAATATATTTATATATCGAAAGACTATTACATATATGTAGTAGGTTTTCCTAATTGATAAATTTATCGGTAAAATTTGTATTAATATATTCCTCACTGAGAGCATCGTGGCAACGAAACCGAAGTACAATTTGTACTTCATAATAAACTTGCTTACATGAAAAGAGAAAATTAATGAATAAGGCATCATTCAAATATACAATTAAAACTGTAAAAGTTTGTGCTTTAACCAATACATTATAGTATTTTATTTCTGAATACACTCAGTCTTTTGTATCAAACACTCGGCCTATTTATAGGGCGTTAAAAGCAAATTTTAACACAGGTACTTGGGTCTTGGTTTATAAATATGTACATGTATGTACCTTATTGATATGTAAAAAAGTAAAGTACATTTTTAACATATCAATAAGATACAGACATATTTATACTCAGGCCCGTAGCAACGATTTCAAAAGTTGGGGGGGGGGGCAACTTCCCAAAGAAATCTGACCAAAAAAACCAAAAGGGGGGGGGGACTTGCAAAAATCCAAAATTATCTGACAAGCAAAACAAAAAAAAAAGCTAATTTACAGTCCAAATCCTGGAATTTGCCAGTGCTAGACCTTGCAACATCAACCAAAGTACTGAAGGACGGAGGCATGAATACAATTCATATAAAAAAAAAACGGTGAATTGCAAATATCGGTTGTTGAGAATAATAGGTAATTCACATAAATTCCGCATGAAAAGTAGAAGCATAACTTTAAAAATGCGGATACTTCCGTTGGCTCTC